GTATGTATGTATCTATGTATGTATCTATGTATGTATTTATGTATGTATGTTGGTAGGTATGTAGGCATGTATAAATGTATGTGTGTATGTCTCTATGTCTGTGGATATGAATGTATACATATAGATATGTATATATTTTTTCCACCCACTTTCTTTCAAGTTACCTATTTTTCTTTTTTGTTGTTTGACATTTCATCTCTTCATTTTGATTGCCTTTCTGATAATGCATATAAGTATGTGATGTATTTGCTCATGAGTGTATGTATGTACTTCGATTGGTCGAATAACACGCCGACTTGCTTTTTGGCGAAAAAAAGCGATGCTGTCGAAGAATGAATAGATCTAGTCCCAACCAAATGCGTGCTCGAGCAGAAGCTTCTCCTGTTTTGCCAGCAGAAGTCCAACTTCGACTCTGCTGTTTGTCTCGTCTCTTTTTGACAGCTTCTATTGCCCTTTCCGATTATATACATTTACAACCCAATTTTTCCAATCTAGCCTCAGCTCGCGGTGCTATTCTGCTCAAGTCCTCTTACTTCTTTTATCCTAACTGACTTTTGGGCTCATTATCTCCTTGTTCATGCCATAAATTTCGTCGAAGCTTGAGATATTGCATTCACACACACACATACCCACATACATAGTCAGATCTTGTTCATATTGTGTATAGGTACAACTCCTTCGTTCTGGCCATTAGTCTCGGATCCTTCGGATCTGCTTTTTGTAAATACAACATGGCCGGTCCATATTCTTCCATTCTTTTCTATATTAACTCTTCCATCTCTGTATCCTTCATATTGTTCCCACTTTTTAACCATTTTTGCACTGGCTCCCTTACTCATTGCTTATCATCATTATTTCGCCGTCTTAAGTGCTCCTTAACTTTCCGACACCAGGCGTATCTATATGACCCTTCTTAATTTTCCCCATCTATTCCAGCAATCCTAGCCCCAATCTGAACTCATATCTTATTGCAGTCAGGATCCTTGAAACGCTCAACTTTGTTGTAATCTACTACCGTAATTATGCCTTTGTTCCTCCTCTCGCTCTGCCAAGGACTGCTCTTCATTTCCAATACACGCTCCCAACGGAGCGTTATCCTCTTGGCATGCCTCCATCTATTAATCACGCTCTTACCCTTCTACTCTTCACATAAAGTGCTAGTCAGTCTTTCATTGATGAGTTTTCCTATTTAAATGCATCGGGCCCCTAAAAAAAGAGCATCGCTCTCATCGCGAATCCCGTACATTCGTCTTCTACCACCATTTATGCTCCGTTGTCATGGCCTTGACGTTTGACTTATTGTTTCAAACTCCTTATGGCATTAGTCCATAGATCAATGTCTTCAGGGATATACGCATCACTTCTGGTCTTGATCATCACATGGATACCTCGATCTTAGAGGATTTTTTTCTGGTCGGCCAGCAGCGATGGGTGTTATATCGGAGGTTTTAAGATTTTATCCTGGGTATCCATCATTATATGGTCCCTGTTGTCCTTCCTCAAAGGCTCCTATTAAATATTAATTCTCTTCTCTTTGGATACACGCTTTTTGCCTGCCAACTCTTTCCTTCAAGGTTTTTAGTATGCCACATTGTGTTTCCTCTATTTTTTAATCAGACACTTATCCTTTTTTCATTATTCTCTCCATTTTCTCTATCATTTTAAATAGGTCGCGTGCGACATTAATTCATGTCATCTTATCTATGTTCATTTGAGTATTTGATCGAACTTTTCACCTACCAAATTCTTATTCTAATCCTCTTGATCGCGCATTCTTTCACCTGCTTCCTACTTTTTTCTACCTTTCATCTTACAAAGATCCATTCCATTGGGTCCCTTTAAGATGTTATATCTTGCCCTATTCGGGTAACCTATCTTCCTTACACCCCGATCCTCTTTCGCCTGAAAACTTTTAAGATGACTTGACAGTGTTGACCAGCTCTCTTTAATCTAAACAGTGCCATTTTCCTATTTCTCTAAATCCAATCATCATCTTTCTATTGAGCTCGTCTTGCTACTCGTCACGCCGCTCATATCTGCTGGCCAAGCTTGTTCATCCTCCTACCTCAGTGAAACCGTAGCAGCAGTGGATATAGTAACAGTTTATCCGAATTCCATTCCGCCAACCGGATACTAAGTTGTGAATGACCTCAGGTTTTTGCATAGCATCTCTTTGATCTAACATATCTTTTTATCTAGTCTTAATATATCCACATTCAAATAGTCCTGTACATCTCCACAGGCAGTGATTTTACCTCCTATTGCTATGATATATATATATATATATATATATATGCATATATTTGCTGGTTATCTCTACAGATTGTAGGCTTCAGCATTACCGTTAACATGCTTTGCCTATAGGCGCGCCAGCTCATCCTGCACCTCACCTTT